TCATGTGAGGAAAAAAGCAAGCAAGGGGGATTATAATAACGTATTTTTTGATGACCTAATCGAAGGTGCATTATGTCCTGTATTTCTCTCTGAAAACTGGACTTTTTCACTAGTTTTTCGACAGCGTTCTCAAAATACTTTAAGCCTTATTCAAGTATATTTACTGTACCCTGAACATATTTTTTTTTAATTATTGGCTGTGGGTTTGTGGGGCTTAAACATTTTTTCTAAATCCACAGCAGGAAACTACGTCGGTCGCCACCAATGAAACGACGCCGAGTTTCGCCGTCGAACCCGTCGGCCCAGGGGCGGCATTGAGTCGGAAACCCGAAACGAGACAAAGCACGATTTTGCAAGATTTCGGCGCTCTTTTCACGGCCTTGTTTTTGAAATCTCCCAAGGATTTATTGAATGCCTTGACTACTTTCGTCAACGAGGCCTTCAATCTGCCTGGAGCCCCGTACCAACTCATGCTCGTGGCACCCAATTTCCTCAGTCCAGACAGGTTGTACAGGATGCTGAATCCGTTTGTTCTCGGACCATTGGCAAATTTTTGCGCCGCACTTGTCAGTGAGTATATATGCGGAATTTACGGGATTGCTTCGGTACCCAACCAAAAGCCCCCCTAGGTCAAAAGCCTCCCGGAAAGCCCCCCCTGCCAAAAGCCCCCCTAGGTCAGAAGCCCCCCCCTGCCAAAAGCCCCCCACTTTTTTTTAATGCAAGTTTCATAAAAGTGTTTGGAGGCCCTGAGAAGGGCTGCTTGGTTTCATTAGTCCTCAAAATGACTCTTAATTGATCATCTTCAAAATTACATTCTGCAGCCTCTTCCTCAGTGTCACTGATGCTCTCAATGTCATTTTCTTCTCAATGTGGCCCTCTTATCTCATCTCCTTCTTCATTAGCACATTTCCAGCACCTAGTACTGGCATTTGTGCTCTTAACCTTGAATGAATAGCCATTGTAGTATGCTCTTCACCACCCGTCTGATTTTTGATGATCTGAAGTGCGCCAGCCATTGGATCAACATGGTGAACTGTAGATTTTGCAGAAGTCAGCAAGTGATGATGCTTTGACACCCAAAGAATCACTGATGACCACTGCAGGTGAAGAATCCATTTAAATATACTCAACTTAAAAACATATTGGTACTTGGCCTTGTGCTGGGCCTGCTGGTGAAAGTGCAGCTTGCCATCAAGAGTTACAAGAATACCTGCAATCCCAAATTTTTGTACCAAGGGGGGACTTTTGGCAGGGGGGGGGGGCTTTTGACCTAGGGGGGCTTTTGGACTACACCCAATTACTTTGCTTCAGGATAGCTTCATGGAAGTTTCAGGCAATTTTAAACGAAAAAAACAAACAAACACGAGTGTTACGAAATATCATTCTGGAGCGAGTTTGTCCTGACAATAGTCATCAGCATTGAAAAATTCACTTTTAAATGGACCCGAAAACGCGCGAATTTTAGTGAGATATGAAAATATTGGGACTGTCATTTACTGTCAGTGAACTGATTTATTCGCCAAGGGTCCACATGGACACGCTAAGGCCCATTAATGATTCAATGCTCATAGTACAGTACTGGGGCCTCGAGATGTGGACAAAGTTTGTGCTGGGACTGTATTGTTTCTATGTGGAAACATCCGCATGTCAGATAACTTTTATTTCTTAGACATCGATGGAAATAGCTTTAATATTGGCTCTCCTGGTGATCGAAAATCATGTCCCATAAAATTTGAATGATATAATTTTTCCCAAGTTCGCGACAGAAAAAAGGAACAGTACAGAAGAAATTCACTCGAAATCTGATCTCTTGGCATGATGAAAAAAGCCTAAAATAAGAAAAAATCACGAGGTTTCCTACAATTTGCTCTGATGATGAAAAAAAACCCAAGAAAGGAGCACAAAATTTACTCGTTTTGTATTATGAATTATTGTACAGTAGAGTAAATTCATAAAAAAATATTTGTCATTCCTGTGAATACTGTATAAAGATCTCTATTGATTCGAAAGATAACAAAGTTTTGAAAAATATAATTGTTCCTTTTCTCTAGAAATTTTATTGTAGTGTCCGTTCCTCAAAAAATTGTCCAGTTGTCAGTCACATAATTTTTCAGACTCAAGTGTCTTTAAGTCGAATCGTCTGGGTGTGCTGCGTCCCAATCACTGTACTCAAAAATGAAAACAGCAGAAATATGCGAACTATATCTTATTGAATAATATTCAAAAATTTCCTATAACGCTTGAAATAATAAATTATTTTTTTCCGTCCGAGGGTGTGGTTATGCAAATATTTTGAGAAATATCGCCCCAAAGTACATGAATATGTCTTCCAAATTTCGAAGTGATCTTTTCCTGAAATTCGAGCATGTCTTTTCTTTCAAATAATGTTGTTATGGAAATATTTCTCGAAGCAATTTTTTATTTATTTCAAAAATGTTTCAGCAGATTTCCTGGTATAGCTGAGACTTATTCTTCATACAGAAGTACATGAATACGTCTTCCAAATTTCAAAGTGATCACTTACTGAAATTTGAGCATGTCTTTTTCTTTCAAATAATGTTATTCAAAAATTTCTCGAAACAAATTTGTTTATTCCAAAAATGCTGCAGCAGATTTCCTGCTATAGCTGAGACTGATTTTTTATACAGACGTCCCATGAATTCGTTAAATAATTACTTGAGAGATTTTAGTGACCTGTCTCTATAGGTCAGCCAAAAGACTGACCCTCTCATTCACTTCTTTTCCTGTTACATAGCTTCAATCACGGTACCAATGAGTGCCGAGTACGCCTTAGGCACAGGTCCGATCGGCTCGACAGGTGTCGGGGCATCTGTCGACACCCCGGCAGCCGGCAAAAGGGTCGACGAAGGTGTCGACCTTTCTCGATTGCCCCCCGAGGTCCTCTATCAGAAGTACTACAAGCGACCGTACAAGAACCGGTACTCGAGTGACCAAGATGACGACGTGTGGGCCAGCAATAGTTTCATCGTTTGATTCCACACTTTCAATGCATCATGCCACCTGAACTCAAAAAAAAAATCGACATGAAAGTACTTTTATGATTCAGGTATAAACTCTGAAAAAAACGAATTCCATTGAAACACATTATTCATTTGAATAAAAAAAAATTCTAAGGTTGTGAAACACCATTGAAAAACGGTTGAAAATACAGTATCATCTGCATGATAACAGATTTCCAAGATTCAGAAGAAAAAAAGATTCTTACGGTGACACATCCGAAGTTCTCATTGAAAATTATTGAAATTCTCGAATATTGCTACGAATTTGTTCCGGGAAAAAGTACTGTATAGGAAATTGAGTGAAGACATTTCACGCCATGTAGGAAATGTCAAATTGATCGATTCACCGAATCAATCAGCCAATAAACTGCCCTTAAAATAAATTTTCAGTTGTACTCGCTCAAGAAAGTTCATAACTTCTGCAGTGATCATTTATTTTTGTTTCGTTTTAAAACGCTGTTCTTGAAGGAACTGTCCTGATTTGACTCAAAAAGAAACGTGACGTTTGAAAGAGTATTCAGTTTCTGAAAAATGTCCGAATTCCTTCAGAGAATCTTGCCACGAGTGCATTTATTCTTTTTAAAATATATTCCTTGCTCCCTCAATGTTTGTTGCAAAAGCGATGTTGAAGAATTAGAAGCTGAAACCAATCAAGACTTGGAATCAGTACTTATTAAAAATAAGCCCAGCTGATGTATTCACACCAAGGTTTTGCTATTACGAAATATGTTTCATGCTCTGAAATGGATAATGTACTAGTTCATGACCTATTGGAACTTTTTTAAAATACATTTCATACAATATTTAAGCCCGAAAATATATCCGGTAACAAGAAAATCGTGAATAAATAAGGGCACGATGGATTTAGCTGAAAAGGCAATTCGCCAAAATGCAGCATTGATTATTTCAATATGCTGATAGCAATCAAAAGTATAAGTTTGGAGAATCTCATTTTGAGATTATTTCTGCATCATAAAAAGCTGCTGTAATCCGTTACCGGTGCATTCATTAATCGATTTGATCCCCTACAAAATTCGAGTCAACACAGCATACGTTTTCACTATAACGTTCAAATATGGGCACGAGTGGAAAATATTTTTACTTCGTTTGCTAATTAATGATGGATTCAAAAATAAATCGAACGAAATTCTCTTGCGCACTGACTGCAATTATGTTCAAGAATCTTTCAAGAGATAAAAACATATTTCATGCGTTCGTTCAGATTTCCTGAAAAGAAGCAGAGATTACTCGGCTTAAGTATACATTAAATACATGAACAGTAAAACAGGAAAATGAAGAATGTATAAATATTTATGATTGACCAAAGAACCTGATAAGTGCAGTAGTTAAAAGAAGACGATGATCCGATGATGGAACAGGTTTTAATGTCTGTTGATCTATGTCATCCAAAAAAATCAATTCGAACTGATTTTCCAAGATTGTGGGAAATTAATGTGATCCTGTATCAATAATTGAATGAATTGTCAAGTGCGGGCCCAATTTCTGCCATTTCAGTCGATCAAGGCTTTATTTATTGAATCTTGATGCCATTTTGACTGATTTTTGCTCCAACTGTGTCCCGCTTTTAAGGTGAATAAAATGAATCGATCTGGAAAAACCTCCAGTTGTGTTGTTTTCTATTACGCAAGGTATTTCATTTGAATTTCAGGGAAGTCATTGAAGCTACCATCCGCCATTTTCACATTTAAGGACATTTACAACCCAGCTTTAGAATAAACTCGACGAACCAATTTTTGCAACAAAAAAGGCTCAAAATTGTTCTCGACGAAAGAAACTTGCGCGTATTGGAATGTGTAAATTTTAGTTGAAAAAACTTCCAACGATGCAGGAAAATAAATCCCTCAGCCATGTGAGGACTAAATAATAAATATTCATACAATAATTTGCCTGTCACTTGTCAATAGTAAACATCTTAAAAACGTCTGTCATTGAACACGTAAGGAAATTAATGAGCCAAAATGTAAGAAATGACACATCTCAACGTTGGCTTGTATTTCAAATTCACCAGAATTTCGGCAAAACTGTGTTCGAAATATTTCCTCATTGTTCTTGTCACGGGAGAACAGATAATGTCTTTTTTTTTTTAAGCCCGTCTCGTTGCATAAAATGAGCTTGATGCAGAAATCCTCGACAAAACAGCAAAAATGCGAGACGAATATCAGAACGTTGAGTTGTTGGCAACCAAGTTTATCACGATTCTCAATTACAATCCCATAAGACGACGATGAACGATGGTTTCAAGACTTGAAGTTTCCCAAGTTGAATTTCTTTTGCGGATGTCGATGAGTCGTGGAGGCAAACGGATTGTGTTTGCCTGTTTGAGAGGTGTATGGCCTCAGGGCTTGGTTCACGGCTGGTCGGGACCCGTCTTTTGCAACCCCGATGTTGTTGGTCATTTGAATGTCTTGGCAAGCTTCCTGGTTCCTGAGAAACGAAAAAGAAACTGAAAAATTTTCTCACAAAAATGTATGTCTATCATCAACATAAGAAATTGAGAATGAACTGAATTGAGCATTGAACAAGGCATGTATGTCAAGAAGAATTTCTTGACAAATACAGATTGTTAGGATTTTGAATATAGATATTTAAAAAGGAAACACAAGACTTTGGTTGGGCTATGACAGGGGTGAGAAATCACCCTATTTTAAGGATGGTGTAATTTGTTTGAAATACGGAAGTCCAAAAAACTGAGATTTCTGTGCAAAATTGCTGAGAAACAACACACACAAATGTTTGAGACAGAATGCTTAGTTTTTGCCAATTTAGGAAAACAGGAAAACTGTCCTCCAAGGACAAAAAACAGCAACATAATTTTAGCAATAAAATACAGGTGAGAACCAAGGTTTTCCAAGATACTCACAGAGATGAAATGAGAGAGGATTTTAAATGGGAATTCGCATTCTCTGATTTTTGCGTGTCTAATTTAATACTGCCGTTAAAATTTTGTGACAATGTACAGTGCTTAAATACAGTAACCTGAAATAATATTATTGTAATACTGTATCTGCATGTGCATCGTATCTTGAAAATGAAACACTTTTTGTACAAACTAATGGTCATTATCACTGTTATCTGTTATTATGCCATAGTTTAGAATGTGAATGCGAATAAATGCATTTATTTCTCAAAGAGGAATTTTGATGCAAATTCTGATTTTTAAAGCTTGAATTGGAGAACGTTTTTCAACTTCTGATTCTCAAGCCAAGATTTCAGGCATTTCAAAAATTCAAAATTTAATCCAATTCGATTAAAAATAAATTTAGAAAACGGCGATATCGATTGTTATTATTGTAGAAGTTCCATCTTTTCAGATTCGATTATATACAGTAGTAACTAAACTGAAATATTGTGATATATGTAAGTGTTTCTTAAATTTTAAATGTGATTCTCAGTTATTTGTGATTCTTAAAAGATCAACAATCTACAGTGGCCTTTACCTCGACCTAAAATAGACACAAAATAACTGGATTATTCTACGCTTAAAGTGAATGAAGTTCAATTTGAATTTGTCAATCAGCTGTCTCAAATTACAACAAACAAATGAATTGAACAAACTTTCGATAAAAAAAGACAATGAAAGTACGAAGCACAAGAATTCGAGAGTACTGAGGTGAGGTAGCCATATGTTCTTGTCGTGCTGCTAGCCAAAAAACAGCGTTGAAGCACCATAAAATTGCGATTTTTGTGTGTCTGAAATCAATTAAATTGAACTTTTTTCTGACCTGATAACTGAAGAGGCTTCTCGAATCACAAGTGCGTCATCACTAGAGAAGAGAACAGTTTGGTGCTGCACAGGTCCCGGACTTCCGGGTCTCAACCGCACCTTCTCCAAAACTCCGCTGTAAACTAAAAGGTCATCGACGAGTACCTAGAAATAAATCCAAGCAATAAAATTCGAACTAAAATATGATAAAAAATATATATATTCTGACAGAAGCCCAACGAAATGAAACAAATTAGCTGTGATGAGATGCACGAAAATGCACCTTCGAAAACTGCGTCAAGAAAGTGACGAACCTGAAATTCTCGCACGCCGCGATTTGCAGTTTTTGCGTAGTTCCAGAAGTGAATCATTGAAACGTCTTGTGGCGAGTCGAACACGATATAAAATTTATTTATCTGCAAATAGAATGCCACATTTTAATACTGAAAAATTCACCAAATACTGTATTCAAAACACGAAAAATGCATGAATCTTCCATGCGGTTAAATGTCCAACAGGGAAGAGTTTTCTTTTCCGTGACTATCATGAGAAATATGTTCAGACCATTGAAAAGAGAGCAAGAAATCCCTCCAAACTACCGATTGGCAGCGCACGTACTCTACAGCCAAGCAAACGGAACGTTGCATTGCATTTCGCCTAATTGTTACGTAGGTGTCGCTCGCATCCTCCTGAGCTCCTACGTCATTCTCGACGATGTCATCAATAATTTTGATGAATATTCCATCGTTATAAGGCCAAAACAGAGTGAAGTGAAGCAATGTAAAAATCATCAAGGTTGAGTTTGACTTGATTTTGTTCAGGCGTATGTTCACTTGAGTTCGGTTATGTTGGTTACATTTTGTAAAATGATTACTGTATGATTACTTGTTAGCATATGTTAATTTCTTCTCTATAAGCGAAATGTTACGATCGATCATGGTTACTGTATGTTTGAATCGTGCTTGTAGGCGTTGCTACGGTAATTTCAAATTATGCCGAACCAAACTCCGATTATAGTTCAGGGTAGATCGATCAGGTTTGATCCGCTCCGGACATTGAAATTTCATTATACAGTATTATAAACTCTAATGAAAATATATTTCGGATAGAAGATTCATTACTGTATTATATTCCGATATTCCGCAATACTTCAAATTCCTGATGCCCTTCTCCCCGTCGTCCCCAGGATAGCAATCACTTTAGGTGAAAATGCGGCTCATTTCACTCCCAATGAGAGCAGATTGATTGGTATATAGTGATCAATCAAGTTTTCAAAATGTCCATGAGCACAGCAATAATTCACCTGATCTGGTAACACGGGTGCGAGCCACATGTGACGTCCGTCAGTCGTGTCGTTGACCCCGTCAATAGCTTTGTCAGGCGTTCGCACGTCATTGTCGATCCCGCTCAAAACATTCACGCTTTCAGGGAATGCCGCCACATCTGAAGGAAATGTGAATTTATTCAGTGAGCAGGGAACATCGGGCCAGAGTTAACACTCATTTCGATACTAATGTATTTTCAGCATAATCCCTCAAATTAATCTCCAGCATGTACGAGTCTAAATAATTCAGAAGAATTGCAGTAATTACGTTCATCAGGAAACTAAGACCCGTCTAACGCTGGATTTTTGTTTTCAGAATAAAGGGCTGGTATGTTTTAAACTTCATTTTTATATTGAGGGTAAATACTTCCTTTTTCACACATGGTCCAAGTAAAACCATAACTCGCTTTCAATTTATCGGTGAGCATTCTGGAGGTAAGAAATTATTTCGTGGGCTCAGAGACTAGTTGACTGAGGCAACTGCATGCATATCAACGGCTAAATAATTTTAGTCATGGTTGCAGCAGCGAGATGGCGTTGATAAATAAATTGGTAAAATAATTCAAAAACTGAGCGGAACGCAGATTCAGGAAAAATGCCGAAGTACGAACATAAGTCCTTAATTGCAGTACTGCATGGTGAAAACGGAAATTATCGATGCATTCAATAATAATTTATTTGAAGAATAGGTCGATAATTGATTTTAAGATTGAAGAAGAAGGCATGCTAATTGGTGTTGCAGTTGACAAGCTTTTTCCGCAGGAGCCAAAGTCAGCTAGGATAAAAATCGATGTTCAACCGTGTGTTGGTACCATACGCATACATGCGTTTGAAAGTGTCACCTCAATTTGGCAAATATTTAGCAAAATTCAAATTTTTTTCTTTGGATTACGATTACCCGAACGATAAAATGCAAAAATTCAGGATAAGCGGAAGCAATAAAAACAGTTAATGCCACGTAGTATATAAACATAGGAAAATACATGTTCTTCGGGTAGGACTTTGGTTATTGTACAGTGAGACCCCAAGATGCGGACATAATTGGTGCATCAAGAGTTTCCCTAAGTTGAAATGTCCCTATAAGTTGAGCCTCATTTTCACTTCAACTTACATTATGAATGAATGAACAGAACACTTTATTTGCCGCTTTTCAGCATTCACAAGGCACAACCAAGACTCCCACATCCAAACCCCCTCCTTATATATATAATTCCTTATACATAACTCACATTATATAATTTTTAATTGGTGTTTCATGTACAAAATACTCACCATCATTCCATGAAAATAAAAATTGTCTCCAAGTTTAAACTGATTCCAATCAATTTACAATATCAATATAAATATGTATTTCAAGACAATAACGGCATTTGATAATTGAATACTGATATCTCTGTACAGTACGTAGAAATTGTGGCATTCTCTGTAAAAATAATATTCAAGTGCAAAAGCAAGAATGAAGTCCCTCTCTGCTGGAGGTAATATTTTTCAATTAGCTAAATTAGCTAAGTTGCTGAGAGAAATGCCCAAGAACTTCTCTTAAATCAATTTTAGGGTTGGAAATATCTGTTTCTTGTAATTTGGCATGAAATTTATATGGAATTTTATAACAAAATGTCCGTATGTTGAGTCAGTGTCCTCATGCTGGGCCTTTTTTATTAATTTTTTATGAGAAAATAAGTGCCCCTATGTTGAATGGTCCACAGGTTGAGGTGTCCGCATGTGGGGGTCTCACTTTTCAGATCAGTTCAGCACCAAGAAATGACGCTTGTCTTATTCAGCAGAAAGACTATATATTTTTTAAATCAGTCCAGTATTTGAAAAACAGTCGAAAACTGGAAGCAAAAAAATGACTCACGATCTGCCGTTAGAGGAATCGCAGCACCTGAGCCATCGAAAAGTTGAATGCCATTGATTCCCAAATAATAAGCGTCTCCCCAGGACGAAATCAAGCTGATTTGGTAAACAAAAAAACTGAGCGGAACGCAGATTCAGGAAAAATGCCGAAGTACGAACATAAGTCCTTAATTGCAGTACTGCATGGTGAAAACGGAAATTATCGATGCATTCAATAATAATTTATTTGAAGAATAGGTCGGTAATTGATTTTAAGATTGAAGAAGAAGGCATGCTAATTGGTGTTGCAGTTAAAAAGCTTTTTCTGCAGGAGCCAAAGTCAGCTAGGATAAAAATCGATGTTCAACCGTGTGTTGGTACCATACGCATACATGCGTTCGAAACTGTCACCTCAATTTGGCAAATATTTAGCAAAATTCAAATTTTTTCCTTTGGATTACGATTACCCGAACGATAAAATGCAAAAATTCAGGATAAGGGGAAGCAATAAAAACAGTTAATGCCACGGAGTATATAAACATAGGAAAATACATGTTCTTCGGGTAGGACTTTGGTTATTGTATTTTCAGATCAGTTCAGCGCCAGAAAATGACGCTTGTCTTATTCAGCAGCAAGACTATATATATTTTTTTTAAATCAGTCCAGTATTTGAAAAAAAGTCGAAAACTGGAAGTTTTTTTACTGAGTGCTAGACGGCAATCTCCTTAGCGTCGTGGACTCGGTAGCTTTTCAACTTACGGTAACTAAGGGTTTATTATTCGCAGAGGGGTCCTGCTTTAGTTCGACTAAACCATTTGTTTTCCTCGAGGAACTGATGAACTGCTTGCACGTGCTGCATCTCTGCTTGAATAATGAATGATCAACACGAAATTTAAAATTACCCAGGCCCCAATAATGAAAATTCCGAATGGACGAGACATTTGTACTCTCCCCAAAGAGCGAATATGCGGAACATTATCAATCAATTTTGCAATATTCCAACCAAACTTCGAAACATGCTTGGTCGGAAAGAAAATATCTTACACACTGCACACTTTAGCCCGCCAAAAAAATTTTGATGCGGCACTTGGATTAGTGAGATTCGAAATAAAATGAATGATAAGAACGGATACCGAGAATCAATGCGTAGTACTGTACGGTATTTCTCTAAACAAATCTCATTAAATTTCAGAGACATGTAACTCAAAGAATTTCGTCTCAAAACGTAGTTTGACTTCAGACACCATAAACAAAGCTATCAAACTGATTTATTCGGCTGCCAAGATAATGAACAATGAATCTGGTTTCTCGCTAGGAAAATATCATGGGGACAAGCTTCATAGGAAAATCTTTTTTTTTCGACCTTGCAGACACGCAAGAAAAAAAAGATTTCGCTTTCGCTGGAATTTTTTCCAGCATGTGGTTTTGCAAAAAAAAAATAATTACAGAAAACGAGTGAACAAACGGTTAGGTCGAAACCTTTTTTATTGTAGGACCCGCTTCAGCATTACTCACACGGGTCCAGGCGCGGACTGTTACTTTGTAAGGAGGCTGTGGTCGTGCAGCAGGTTGCTTTATCGCACTAATTTCGCCTGCATATAATGAAATAAGAAAAATATCCAGAATTTCAACCCAGATTATTCAAAAATTCTCCTTCGAAAACAACCACCAATCCAAATTCCATTTCTAACAAGAACTAGTTTTTCTTTTTTTTTTTTTACGACGGTGACGCAGAGAAAATTCGCAGTGAAAAAAAGAGGCGGAGAAAATTAGGGGTCATGTGCTCGTAAGAAAAACAGTTTGAAATATTTATTTGCGCACAAAAAGACTGCGAATATAGTGCTACAATACTTTGAAAATGTAATTTCCATTCTTGAGTGAATTATTTCAGTCAAGTGCACTGTAAGGATGTTGTTGATTCGCAATTCCAAAAGGAATCGACTCAATACATTTCGAGACAACTGCATCCAAAACTTCGCCCAGGGCAAATCAACGGAATACTGACTTAAGCACGTATACAGAAACGGGCTTTAAATTTATCTAAATTCCAGCTTCAAGTTAGATGAAAGTACATTTTTCTCACTCACTCCACGATAAGTGTCTTCAATCGATCCGTTGTAGTTCCAAATGCGTATTCCTCCGAGATTCATTGCTTCTGGTAACTCAATCGCAATCAATGCATCCCCCGATGAACTGTACGGACACATCCACATTTCCTTCTTGTCCTCCGTCACATTATTTCCATTCAGCAATCTGCAGAATTTTTTTTCGAAACAATAAAACGATAACATAGTAAAAATACCTGGTCAACTCCAGAAGCGGTTAGAAGAATGCGCAAGAACATGAGGGGATTTACAGTCTCAGAAGAATGACAGAAACTATACGATTTCTATTCATTTTTGAAGATATCTCGAAATTCATCGAAAAATAATCAATTGTTTGGAAAAGTGCCATAGTCTCGAACGAGCTACTCGGCCTATTGCTTCTCTTTGTCGAAACCAGCCGTTCAACTAGCCAAGAGGCTCAACCAACTCGTGAACTTACGGTCTGTAAGGACTGCAGAAACAAGTACTTTTTTCACGAACTGACGCATTCCTTAGTTGGCAGATTTTACTCACCTATGAACTGAGGATCTCCCCAATTTTCCAACAATTTTATAGCCAGGGTTTTTCCACTGTAAGAACGCGGCAAATTCCGACACTCGACGGAGACTCGGCGACACAAATCTCCTCGGCAACGAGCTGCTGTAAATGGCCTTTCGCCCTTTTTAAAAATATATAAAATTAAAAAAAATTGAATGCTTATTATCATTTTTATTCAACTTTGGAAGGCTGATCCAATTAAGCTTGCAAAATTATTCGGGTATTAAAATTTTTCTTCATGAAGAAATACGAAGAAAGCCCCGACAAAATTCCAAGGTTTAGAATGATTTTCCTTTCATCGACTGAAGTTTCATGGGAAAACACTTTCCAGCCGTTCCAATTTCGGTCCAGCTTTTAAAGAATTTTCAGAGGTTTTCCAATTTTTCAGAAACTTTTTCGCTTTGGAGCGCTGTTGAAATTCTCGCAAGAAGAACAAATTTGAGTGTAAATTTAGGTCAAGGAAAGCGAAAGCATGCCACCTTTCTACCATATTTTGTTCCTTGGAATTTTTTAAAGTGTGATTTGGACATTGTGGTTTTCTTTTCGATCAATTTTTTTAATGGTTTATTAAAATTAAATCTTTCTAACCGAAGATATTCCTCCATTTTCAGTGTCGGCAGTTTTCGGTCGCTCAATCACGACGGATCGAGAGTCATTCTCTGTTTCTTCTGGTCTCGTGTGACCGAAATACTTGTCGTTCTTGGAAATCTTTTCCAGAATCTCCTCATCCACAGTGAACAGGATGGTCTGAAAATGTATGAATTTGAACGTGGTTTGAATAAAACTAGATTAAAATGAAGAACTTCGAAGAACTCACGTCTCCAAAACCGTCGATACGACCAGAAGTTCCACCAGTCGCTCTCGCAATTTCGCCCACGAAAATCACTTTCGACTCTAGTCGCATTTCAATGTCTTTGGCACCTCGAAATGAGTGAATTCTTGATTTGTTGTAGTTCTGAAAAATTCAAAAAAATTCCATTAGACGATCAAAAATAGTAATTTTTGTTCTTCGCCTCTGAAAGCCCGAATGATGCCTAATCGAAACATGGTATTCACTGTTCTGTGGAAAAAAAGCTGCCAAAATCAATTTAATCAAAACAATTTAATTTATTCACGGAATCAAATCTTTGGCACGAATACATCCGAGAAGACCAGAAATCCAGTCACTTTCGGCAGATTGGATTTATTTCTTGATTAAAATTTTCTTTTTTAATTTCCAAAATAGGAATCGGAATACAATAACCTGCGTTGGACAAAATTTATAGAGTCGTCTTCTCGGCGCAACGCCAAATTAGCAGTAATCTATTTTTACTGATTTGATTTGCTGGGCCTGTGAACCAAACTGGAGTTGAGTTCCCATACCCTGCAAGGACACACAAAATATGTATCCTTGAAAAACGGTCAATCTTGACCTCCTCTGAATCAATTAATGTGTTTCCCAAAACCATCTTTTTTTTTAACTCGGTCTGCATTTTGAATTTTACCTGAGCTGACCTCTGGAGAGCAAGCTTATTGTATTTGCAAAATTTTGCATGTGTTATCATTCAACTTGTGTTTGAATCTTGAAAGCCCAAACTCCCAAATCAAAATTTCAACTTGCAATACTAGGAAATACAGTGCCCCCCGCCTAACAGACCTCCCGTGTAAGGGATTTTTGCTGAACAGACCAGCTCTGCAAGCAGTTTTTCCTCCTGCCCAACAGACAAAATCCGCCAAACAGACTTCTTTTGGTTTAAAATTAGTGTTGAAAATTGAAATTTTTAATTTTTTATGTAATTGAATTCGTGTAAAGGACTTTTTGTCTAACAGACTCGTCCCTTGCACAAATCAAGTCTGTTAGACAGGGGTTGACTGTATTAAGCACCCAGCTGCTGCCCAGCTGATTAACGTGTTTCCTTCATGCAGCTCTTAAGAAATTCTTTTGATTCTTAATCAAGCAATTTTCACAAATTCTGTGTCTTAATCAAAATAATTCTTTCAACTTTGTGAGTAAAAAATAAAATTCCTCACAAAATTGGAAGCAAAGTGTGGTTGTTTTTCTGCCATTCCTTGATAGAAAAAGAAAGGTTCTAGAAACAATGTGTGCATCTACTGTAAACAGTATATATATTTTTATCAGTATATTTTGAACATACTCATCTTTTCTTTTTGTGAATCTATGCTCCTATTGTTGCATAAACCTTCAATTTTCACAAAGATTGTTTATATCTAAGTAATAGTTGGAAAAAAGGCCCAGAATCCTAGCAGATGTTTTCTTGTTCTGCTAAAAAGAGATCTTTCACAACCTGGAGTCTTTTTCCCAAAATGAAAATACATTGTCGCTTTAAAAAGTGAAAATCGTGGAATTTCTCTGAGTAAATACACACTTTTACTGCTGAAGCCGTTCCAGAAATTAAAAATCTAATATTATCGCAGAATCGAGCAGCTTTGAGAGTCCAGAACGTTATTTGTCTTGTTCCTTTGCTCAAGATTTTAAAAAGAAATATAAAATTAAATATGATCCAAAATAAATGTCAAATATTTTCAAGTTGATCAATCGCAATGACGATGCCCAGAAAAATAATACGAGAAAAAAACGAGAGACTGACCCATATTCTGATTAAGGCGATGGAATCTGGCTTTTTGAATTCGAGACAAACGAGGTGTTCCTTCCCTGGAGTGAATGGCGCCAACCAAACGTGGAAGTCGTCATGGGTTTGATAAACCCCGTCCATCAAGTTCTTCACCACTCTGGGGTCCTTGCTGTACTCGGGCAAGACGTTGATGTCTGCAGGATTCGCCCAAATNTCCTACAGGGTACATGTTATAATAATCTTATTGCAGCAAACTCTCCAATTCCAGCATTACAAACATTTTCAAGGAAAATTTTTAATTTTTCAGTGAAGAATCCCCAATTAAGGATGGCACAGTCTCAGTTTCCCCTTGCCAGCTATTCAAAATGTGAATGTGAGAGCTGGTTCTTGGGACATGAATAATAAGGGTGTAATATTTTGAGCATTTTCATCTGCTTCAGATAATGATGATAAATGATCGCGTAAAACTAGAAGAGACCTTTTGGACGCATTGAAGACTCACTGGAAAGAGATGCTCCGGTTTAACGGTCCGCACTCTTCAAAGTCTAGATCCATTCCGAGCTCGGGTGGAATTCCTCCTCTTCCGGACAATTCTCCGTTTGTAGAATTGTAGCATTCGTGGTTCACTGAGCTCTGTGACTTGGGCCTCGAAGACCTTATGAATGAAAAGGAATGGTAAAACTTGAATCTCGCACAAAGTGGTTTTCTAGAAAAATGAATTTCTTTGGAGTACAACTTGATATCATGTAGGATGAGTAGGACCCATTTCAGACATGAGCTTCTGCATGCAATACAGAAAATTTGAAACAGACAATTTGAAAATGTACAATTTGAGACAGGGTCAATTTGAAATGTAAAAGTTTGGAGACTGGGACAATTGGAGACACAGGCATTTAGAGACAGGTAAAATATGAGACAATGACAATTTGAGACAGTCCCAAAGGAACTCTGCAGACAAAAGCTGTTTTTTCTTCTACACTTGAATTTTCTGGGTTTCCCTTTTACTTTGTGATTCTTTGTAAATCTTGGGAATTTAATATTTTTTTACTGTGGAGTTTTGTATTTTTTGAACAATTTACATATTTGAAATATGCTATGTTAGAAATATTCTGTTATTTTAATTGTGTGTTATAGGTTTTTTCCATACAAGGTGTTATGTATAGAAATTTATGCAATTTTTCTTGACCATAAGATAATATTTTGTGC